TTCCTCCTCATCCTGCTCCTCCTCCTCCTCCTCCTCCTCCTCCTCCCCCTCCTCTTCCTCTCCCGCACCTCGCGCTTCATCCTCCACCATCAACCTCATCCTGATCCAGAGTTGGATTCATTCGCAAGTTCATGCGCGCATGAACTTGCGACTGAAATTGGCCCAGATCTCGGGCCTTCTGTCGAGGATCACCTGGCGCTCCTGGACGAACACCTGGCGCTCCTGGATGCTCGCGATCGTGTGCGAATGCATCTTCCGAGAAGGGCGCCGTCGAAGCAGCCGACGCTCCCGAGACGCTGTTCGGAGAGATCGGCGCCGCCCCAACCTTCTGCCTCTTCGGGCCCGACGCCGCCGCCGACCTGGCGCGTGGCGGCAAGGCGCCGTGCAGCAAGTCGGAGGGCGACGACATGGGGCACTGCTCGTCGTCGACGTCGATGCCCTTGCGCAGCGCATCGTTCTTCGACAGCGCGAGCCCTTCCGCGAGCTCCAAGTCGCCCTGCTCATCCATCTGCTTCTCCTTCTCGTAATCCTGGAGGCTGTCGACGATGCCCTGGCGGATTGGAGTCAGCGGGGACTCGCCTCGAACTCCTGCGTCGCGCTCGATCTGGCTCGCCTCCGCCTGCCCGTAGCCGCCTTCCGGATATACTGGCCCCATGCCAACTGGCGAATCGTCGGAAACCGTCACGACCTCGGCCGCATCGGACCTGGGCGGCATCGGCGTGCCTGCCATCAAGGGCTCCGTGTCCGAGCCGTCCGACCCCTCGACCGCCGCGGACAGCGAGGCTGGCGCACCGCCGTCGCCGATGGCTGTCGTGCCCTCGCCGCCGCCGCTGGCTGGCGCGCCGTCGCCGCCGCCGCTGGCTGGCGCGCTGCCGCCGCCGTCGCTGGAAGCGCGAGGCCAACCGCCACTGGGGCGCGCCGCCACCGCCGCCGCCACGGCGGCCACGTCAGAGGACGTGAGCTCCTCCGCCCCCAGCGCCGAGTCGAACGTGGCCGTGTCCGCCCAGGTGCCATCTGGCTGGGTCGCCATGCCGCGCCCCTTGCCCTTTCGTGATGAATCTGCCGATGGGTGTGGCCCACGCGCCTCTCGCAGGCACGTTGCCCCGCTCGATGTCCATGCCAGAGCCAAAATGGCTGCGACAGCGGCGGCGGCGAAAGCGGCCGCAGCGGGAAGCGTCTCCCATCCCCCTCCTCGTCCCCCTTTTCTTCCTCCCCCTCCTCCTCCTCCTCCTCCTCCTCCTCCTCATGTTGCTCTCCCGTCTCGCCCCCCTCCCTCCCCCTTCCCCCTCCTCGTCCTCCTTCTCTTCTCTCCTCTTCCTCCTCCTCCTCCTCGATCCTACCCGTATGCCCCGCGCCAGGGGCTTCCCTGCTGTTCCGAGAGAAACCCCGCTTTGAATGACGGCCAGTATTGCCTGAGTCTACTCAGGAGCTACGGCACAGCATGAATTCCCTCCTCTTTATCATATTACCCCAAACAGTGCTTGTACTGAGGGGTTATATTGAACATATACAAGGTGAAACCAATAAACGCAAAAGTTGTGCCACAATCTACACATCATAACATGTTGCGTTGGCCACATGGTAACACGATGGTGTTTACATGGTATGCTTAAAATGTACTTACAGAGCAGATCCCGTTTGGTTTTATTATAACACAATAGATCCCGGAGTGTTTACATGCTATGCTTAACATGCATTTACATAGCAGATCCCGTTTTGGGATCTATGGATCCTCTGGGGCCAGGAGGGGGGCGTTGGTAGGTTCTGGGCGAGAAATTGTGGGGTGGGGGGTCCCAAGAACAGAGCTCTCCTGGGGTGGGGATGTCAGGCCAGGAGGGGGGCGTTGGTAGGTTCTGGGCGAGAAATTGGGGAGAAATTGTGGGGTGGGGGGTCCCAAAAACAAAGCTCTCCCAGGGTGGGGATGTCTTTCCAGGAGTGGGGCGTTGGTAGGTTCTGGGCAATTGTGGGGTGGGGGGTGAACAGAGCTCTCCCGGGGTGGGGATGTCAGGCCAGGAGGGGGGCGTTGGTAGGTTCTGGGCGAGAAATTGCGGGGTGGGGGGTCCCAAGAACAGAGCTCTCCCGGGGTGGGGTTGCGTTGGGTCTGGGGATGTCAGGCCAGGAGGGGGGCGTTGGTAGGTTTCTGGGCGAGAAATTGCGGGGTGGGGGGTCCAAGAACAGAGCTCTCCCGGGGTGGGGATGTCAGGCCAGGAGGGGGGCGTTGGTAGGTTCTGGGCGAGAAATTGTGGGGTGGGGGGTCCCAAGAACAGAGCTCTCCCGGGGTGGGGATGTCAGGCCAGGAGGGGGGCGGTAGGTTCTGGGCGAGAAATTGTGGGGTGGGGGGTCCCAAGAACAGAGCTCTCCCGGGGTGGGGATGTCAGGCCAGGAGGGGGGCGTCGGTAGGTTCTGGGCGAGAAATTGTGGTGTGGGGGGTCCCAAGAACAGAGCTCTCCCGGGGTGGGGATGTCAACAAGGAGGGGAGCGTTGTAGTGGCTGGGCGAGAAATTGTGGTGTGGGGGGGGTTACCAGACAGAGCTCATCCCGGGGTGGAGATGTCAGGCCGGGAGGGGGCGTTGTAGGTTCTGATGAAAATTGTGGGTGGAGGGTTCCCAAGAACAGAGCCTCCCCGGGTGGGGATTTCAGGCCAGGAGGGGGGCGTTGTAGGGGTAGGTTCTGGCGAGAAATTGTTGGTGGGGGGTCGCCAAGAACAGAGCTCCTCCCGGGGTGGGGATGTCAGGCCAGGAGGGGGGCGTTGGTAGGTTCTGGGCGAGAAATTGTGGGGTGGGGGGTCCCAAGAACAGAGCGCTCCCGGGGTGGGGATGTCAGGCCAGGAGGGAGCGTTGGTAGGTTCTGGGCGAGAAATTGCGGGTGGGGGTCCCAAAACAGAGCTCCCCGGGGTGAGATGTCAGGCCAGGAAAGCGTTGGTAGGTTCTGGGCGAGAAATTGTAGGGTGGAGGTCCCAAGAACAGAGCTCTCCGGGGTGGGGATGTCAGGCCAGGAGGGGGGCGTTGGTAGGTTCTGGGCGAGAAATTGTGGGGTGGGGGGATCCCAAGAACAGAGCTCTCCCGGGGTGGGGATGTCAGGCCAGGAGGGGGGCGTTGGTAGGTTCTGGGCGAGAAATTGCGGGGTGGGGGGTCCCAAGAACAGAGCTCTCCCAGGGTGGGGATGTCTTTCCAGGAGTGGGCCGTTGGTAGGTTCTGGGCAAGAATTGTGGGGTGGGGGGTGTCAAAAACAGAGCTCTCCCGGGGTGGTGATGTCAGGCCAGGAGGGGGGCGTTAGTAGGTTCTGAGCGAGAAATTGTGGGGTGGGGGGTTTCAAAGAACAGAGCTCTCCCGGGGTGGGGGGATGTCAGGCCAGGAGGGGGCGTTGGTAGGTTCTGGGCGAGAAATGTGGGGTGGGGGTCCCACAAACAGAGCTCTCCCGGGGTGGGGATGTCAGGCCAGGAGGAGGGCGTTGGTAGGTTCTGGGGAAAAAATTTGGGGTGGGGGGTCCGAAAAACAGAGCTCTCCCGGGTTGGGGATGTCAGGCCAGGAGGGGAGCGTTTGTATAATCTAGGGGGGAAAGTTGTGAGGTGGGGGATCCCAAAAACAGAGCTCTCCCGGGGTGGGGATGTCTTTCCAGCTGGGCAAGAATTGTGGGGTGGGGGTCTCAAAAACAAAGCTCTCCCGGGGTGGGGATGTCAGGCCAGGAGAGGGGCGTTGGTAGGTTCTGAGCGAGAAATTGTGAGGTGGGGGGTCCCAAAAACAGAGCTCTCCCGGGGTGGGGATGTCAGGCCAGGAGGGGGGCGGGGGTCTCAAGAACAGAGCCCAGAGGCTTGGGGGTGTCGGAACCAGGTGGGGGCGAGGTGGCGGCCAGGGTGTGGGGGGGTGGGTGGTATGGGTCGATGTCGGGTGAGAAATCGTGGGGTCGGGAGTCTCAAGAACAGAGCCCAGAGGCCTGGGGGTGTCGGGGCCAGGTGGGTGCGAGGTGGCGGCCAGGGAGTGGCGGGGTGGAGGGTATGGGTCGATTTCGGGCGAGAAATCGTGGGGTCGGGGGCCGCAAAAACAGAGCCCAGAGGCCTGGAGGTGTCGGGGCCAGGAGGGGGTCATGGTGGGGGCGTCGGTCGTTTTTGGGCGAGAAATCGTGAGGTCGGGGGTCCCAAGAACGGAGCCCAGAAGCTTTGAGGGTGAGGGTGTCGGGGCCACGAGGGGGTCATTGTGGAAGGCGTCGGTCGTTTTTGGACGAGAAATCGGGGGGTCGGGGGTCCCAAGAACAGAGCCCAGAAGCCTGGGGGTGAGGATGCCAAGGCGTGGTTGGAGCGTGGCAGGAGCGTGGTGGGGAGCGTGGTTGGGGGTATCGGTAGGTTTTTTGGCGAGAAGTGGTGGGATGGGGGAAAGGGGGGCCCAAGAACAGAGGTTCCAAGGACGGGAGCCAGGAGGAGGGTATCGGTCGGTGGCTGCTTGAAAGGAGAAGCTCACGATGAATGGCTCTAGCACGCACTCTCCCTCACACGCCTCTGGGGTCGGCGGATTTCATATTATAGGTGTATATGTTTATCATCTATATAGTATATATATATATGAAGTTATATCATACACACATATATAGATTGTATATATAGATGTAGACGTTCACATCTAGGGAAGCATGGATTCCACGATCCTCGAGCCCCGACGACGGCAACGCCCTCTGCGGCCCTCGGTGGCCCGGCGGCGGCAGGGGCCGGCCGCCCCACGACAGGGGTGCTCTGCGGCGGCCGCCCGGATGCCCTGCTCCAGCAGCGGGCGCTGCCCCCCCCCCCGGGTGGGAGCCCGAAGGGCGCGCCGCGGAGGCCGGCCCTTCGGCTCCCTCGGTCCCTCGAGCCCTCGGTGCTCTCCGTTCGGTGTCGCCTGACCGACCCCGAGCCCACCACCTCGCCGCCCTCCCAGTTGGGGCTCCCCCCCTCGCAGAGCGGCCAGGGGGGCCCAGGTTACGCCCGTGGGGGTAGGCATCGGTCAAACGATGCTCAGCCGTCCCCCGCCCAGGTCCGCCAGCATGGTCAGCCGGAGCAGCGTGGTTAGCGTGAGGACGGCCCGCCCGCCGCGCCCCCCCCCCTCGTGGCGGCTTGCGTGTTGGCGGGGCGACCTTGGTCCCCGGAGTTAGGAGGAGGACCAGACAGGACAGCGGTGGCCTCCCTGCTTTTGATGGGACAGTAGTCGCCCCCCCCTTTCGATCAAGCACCACCTGAGGTACCTGGAGAGGAGGAGGGGGAGGAGGAGGAGGAGGAGGGACAGTAGTCGCCCCCCCCTTTCGATCAAGCACCACCTGAGGTACCTGGAGAGGAGGAGGGGGAGGAGGAGGAGGAGGAGGGAGGAGGAAGAGGAGGAGGAGGAAGAGGTGGAGGAGGAGGAGGATGAGGAGGAGGGGAAGAAGAGGAGTAGTAGGAGGAGGAGGAGGAACGGAGAGAGAGGAGGAGGAGGAGAGAGAGAGAGGTGGAGGAGGGAGAGCGAGGAGGGAGGAGGGAGGAAGGGAGGCCAGGAGGGAAGGAGGAGGAGGGGGAGGGGGAGGGGGTGACGTGGGGGAAATAAAGGGGAGGAGGGGAGGTAGGAACGGGAGGAGGAACAGTAGGAGGAACAGGAGGAGGAAAAGAGGAGGGGAAGAGGAGGAGGATGAGGAGAGGAGATGAGAGGAGAGGAGTAGGAGAGGACAGAGGAGTGAGGAAGAGGAGAGGGGAGGAGAGGAGGAGCAGAGGGAGGAGGACGAGGAGGAGAAGAGAGGGGAGGGAGGAAACAGGAGGGAGGAAGGAGGGATGGGAGGAGGAGGAAGAGGAGGAGGAGGAGGAGGAGGAGGAGGAGGAAGAGGAGGCGGACGGGGAGGAGGAGGAGGAGGAGGAGGAGAGGGAGGAGGAGGAGAGGGAGGAGCAGAGGGAGGAGGACGATTAAGAATAATAATCATAAGAAGAAAACGAAGAAGAGGAGATGGATAAGGAGTGCGGGGAATGGGGAGAGGAGAGGGGAAGGAAGATGGGACGAGGAGGAGGACGAAGAGGAGGAGGAGGAGAAGGAGGAGGAAGAGGCAGGGGGAGGGGAGGAACAGTGCAGGGAACGTGCAGGAAACCGACAACGCAGGTCGAGGATACGGAGAAGTCGCACTACGGGGGAACCAATCACCACCTCAGGTACCTGGAAGAGGAGGGGGAGGAGGAGGAGGAGGAAGAGGAAGAGGGAGGAGGAGGAGGAGGAGGCGGAGGAGGACCAGAGTAAACCGAAGATGCAACAACCGATGCTGCAATACATCCTGTCGTCCCAAGTTCCACCCCCATCATCGGTCCGCCAGTCAGACGAGGTCGCCTGCTGTAAAGGATCCTCCCTCCGCTTGAAAAACGCCCAGGATAGCACCAATGTGAGAAGCACATGCCCTCCATCCGTCGAAAGCGTTGCAGGACATCGCAGTCGCGGACGTATGTCCCGTGGAAGTCCCACGCGAGAGCCCTTCAGAGAGGTCCAGGGATAGCCTGGTTTTGAAAAGGACATGCCCTCCATCCGCTTCAGCGTTGCAGGATGTCAAAGTTGTGGACGTATGCTTCGCGGATGTCTCCCGCGAGAGTCCACTTCGGAAGAGGAGCCGCTTTCCATCCGTGTTCGATGTTGCGCAATGTGGACGATGAGTGTAGATGGTGGCCAAGTGCAGACCCCAACGGGGGCATTCGTTCAGGAATGTGTCCTGGAGGCTGTAGGCCTTGGAGGGTGCCGTATTTGATGAGGGCGGCGGTGATATCCATGGCTGGTCCACGATCGGAGTTCCACCGGCTCCCAGACCCTGGATAGGGGGCCGCAGGCGAACCCTACACCCACCCCCCACGATTTCTGAGGGGGAGGGTGGGGTTCACGTCGCTTGGGAGCTCCCGAACGAAGTGAACCCCGCCCTCCCCCCCAGACCTCGTGGGGGGGTACTCCAGATTTCGTAATAACAGGGAGGGGGTCTGGACCCTCCAAGACAAGCCATTTCAGACCCCCCCCTCCCCGTGGGAGAACCCTCCAAAACATCGTCCCCAGACCCCCCCAGGCCCTCCAAGATAGCCTGGAGGAGACCCCCCCCCCGAAATGAGACCCCCCTCCCTTTATTAACCAAATCTGGAGTGCACAAAGCGGGCGGCCGGCGCGTCTGCGGGGCTATTATTTTCATCCCCCAGAGGTCTGGCGACCCGCCTCTGGTCGAGACGTGAGGCCCCCCCGGACATCGGCACGACCGGCAGGTCCATCGGTCGGCCGATCGGTACAATCGAGGTTGTTCCAGCCTCGGACATGTCGCGGACGTTGTCAAAAGTACAATTTGTACCTTGTCTGCGTGACGTCGGTACAAATTGTACATTCTCCGTGGGGCGTAGGTACAATTTGTACCTCGGTTGCGCCTCTCTCCCCATCTGGACTTATCCCCCCATTTACATCCCGCCAAACAATCGAGGTTGTTCCAGCCTCGGGGTGCACTCTAGCAGCTGCGCCCCGACTCGGACAGCATCCGACGACGCGATTTTTCGCTGTCTTCCACGCGCGGCCCCAGAGAATGCGACCCCATCCCCAGGGCCAATCTCTCAATTTTCCGCCCCAGGCCCCAGTTTGATGCGCCTGGGGCCCAGCCTCGGAACTGGGGGAGGCTGGGGCCGAGGGGGGAGAGGGAAAACGCCTGGATTGGCAGCGACGTCCCGCCGGAGATCTGGGGAAGCGGGGGATTCTGGGGATCCTCGGCCCTCCCCTCTCAACGTGCCGTTTCTAGGGAGACAACAACAAGTGGCATTGAACATAGAAGCTCGGAGGTCCGCGCGGATTTCTCGGATCGGCGCTGGGGCCCCCTGGCGGCGCCTCTGGCGCCGCCCCTGGCGCGCTCCGCGCGCCAGGGAGGGGGGTCCAGCGCCGATCCGAGAAATCCGCGCGGACCTCCGAGTTGTTATGCTATGTCATTCTCCGTTCTCCGAGTTTCCCCACGGCACGCCAAACGGGGGAGGGGGGGCGGGGGCGCGAGAGATGTTGGATTGGCGGAGCATAGAATGGCAGAGTGGAGGTCCACACGTCATACCCGAAGCAGAAGCAAGCCGCGTAAACATACGTGTTCGGCGCTCCGCGCGGATTTTTTGGATCTGCGCTGGGCCCGTTGGCGGCGCCTCCGGCGCCGACAGAGGCGCGCTCCACGCGCCAGGGAGGGGGGTTCAGCGCCGATCCGAGCAATCCGCACGGACCGTCGAAAGTTCTCGTTTACGCCGTGCTTTCTTCCTCTGGGAAGCCTGCACGCCCACATACCCAAAGAGAACCTTGGCGCTCCCGGGCCGTCCCTCCCCGGCCTTCGCCAGAGAGGGATGGCGCTCGCGCTCGCGCGCCGGCATCCCTGCACGAGCTCGGCTGGGACGGATCGAGGGGTGGGGAGCGGGAGTCACCGAGCGCGTTCCACTACTCGCAAAGTGCCTACTCTCAAACGCCCGAAAAACACGTGTCTGTTTCGAAGTGATTTCTCGCAGATCCCCCGCGGCGGAACCAGGCAATTTGTGAGTGGCTACTTTGCGAGCAGTGGAACGCGCTCGTCTGAAGAGGACGGGGGGCAGGCAACGCCACCAGGGGGGTGGAGAAGCAGACAAGGGGGGGCGCCAAGCGGAGGCGTGTGCGGAGCGGCGCGCGAGCCCACCCCGCACTTCCTCTCGGCGTGGCAGATCGCGACGGGAGGCTTCTGGTTTGTCCCGGTCTCAGGGGGCCCGTCAAACTACGGTCGGGGGCGGAAAAGAGGGGGGTGATGACTAGGGGGGGGGGGGGATACCATGGCGGGGGCCATGATATTTCCCCAGATTTCATGGCGCCTCTTCCTATTTCATTACGTCCCTGGCCCCCCCGCTGGGCCGCGCACATGCCGCCGGTCATGATTTGCACCCCCCCCTCTTGGACACCCCCCTCTTGGCCGCTCCCGATACGGTCCGTGATGGAAAACCAGTCCCGGGGATGTGGTCTATAGATCTCCAGTGCTCCCCGTTGTGGAGAAATCACGGCGTCGGATGTCTGTGGGCCCCCTGCGCCCACCGTCAGCGCCGTCCTCCACCCGCTTTTCCCCGTCCCCGGGGAGGGGGAGGGGAGGGGGAGGGGGAGGAGAGGGAGGAGGAGGAGGAGGAGGAGGAGGAGGAGGAGGAGGAGGAGGAGGAGGAGGAGGAGGAGGAGAACGAGGAGAACGAGGAGAACGAGGAGAACGAGGATGATGAGGAGGAGGTGGAAGACGAGGAGAACGAGTAGAACGAGGATGAACAGGAGGAAAAGGCGGCGGCGGAGGAAGAGGACGAGGAGGTGTAAGGAAACGTTTCGATGGCGCCCTTTGCCTCTTCAACTAGTCTCCGACGAACCCGCCACCAGCTTCAAGGCTTCCAGGAAGTTAAGGGGGGAGAGCAGCAGGAGGGCCAAGGAGGGAGAGGAGGGCGAGGAGGAGGCGGAGGAGGAGGAGGAGGAGGAGGAGGAGGAGGAGGAAGGAGGCGGAAGGGGGACGGGGGAGGAGGAGGAGGAGGAGGTCAGGGACGGGGGGTGGTTCCGACGCCGTGACTCCTCGCAGCGAGAGGAGCCAGGGGAAGGGGGAGGAGGAGGAGCGGCAGCGGCACGAGGGGCGCAGGGCGGCGGTGGCATGGCGGTGGCGAGGAACCCGGCGGCCGACCTGCAGACGTACGACGAGCTCCCGGAGATGGAGCCGTTGGGGGGCAGGCGCCGGGCCCTTGCACGCGTGTCCCCTAACGGGCGGAGAGGCAGGAGGGAGGAGGCAGGAGGGGAGGGGGAGGAGGAGGGGAGGAGGAGGGGGCAGGGGGGAGGGGGAGGGGGGAGGAGGAGGAGGGGAGGAGGAGGAGGAGTGGGAGGGGGAGGAGGAGGAGGAGGAGGAGGAGGGAGGAGGAGGGGGAGGAGGAGGAGGAGGGGGAGGAGGAGGAGGAGGAGGGGAGGAGGAGGAGGAGTAGGAGGAGGAGGAGGAGGAGGAGGAGGGGAGGAGGAGGAGGAGAAGGAGGAGGAGGAGGAGGAGGGAGGAGGGGAGGAGGAGGAGGAGGAGGGGGAGGGGGAGGAGGAGGAGGAGGAGGAGGGAGGAGGAGGAGGAGGAGGAGGAGGAGGAGGAGGAAGGAAGAGGAGGGAGGAGGGTGAGGAAGAGTGAGGGGGAGGAGGACAAGCTAGGTCGCTCGCGTCATATTCGGGACATCCTACCCTCCCTCCCATCCCTTAACATGGCGCAGAGCTCGCCTCTCTACTCGCTCAGTCGGGATGTTGAGCAGGGCAACGGTGATCCCGAAAGGGTACGCGATGCATTGTAGAGCACGGCATGGCATGGCGTAGAAGAGCACCGCAAAGCGTAGTATCAACCTAGCATTGCATTGCATGCCGTGGCATGGCACGGGAAATGACGCCAGCGCTGCAGCGGGAGCACGAGTCAAAACGAGCGGAAGCGCGGAAATGAGGCCAGCGCTGCAGCGGGAGCACGATTCGGAACGAGCGGAAGCACGAACATGAGGCCAGCGCTGCAGCGGAAGAACGATTCGGAACGAGCGGGGCCAGGGAGGGGGAGGGGGAGGAGGAGAAGGAGGGACAGGCGGAGGCGGAGGAGGATGAGGAGGAGGAGGATGAGGAGGAGGAGGAGGAGGAGGGGGAGGCGGAGGCGGAGGGGAAGGGGGAGGGGGGGAGGGGGACGCGGAGGGGAAGGAGGAGGAAGTGTACGTCGTGCACCCGCTGCTCACAAGCCCAAGTTCAAATCCATGCATTTCAAAATGGTGCTTCACAATGTGTCGTTTCACAGCGTACCTGGAGACGGCGAGACCGCCGCGAGGTAACTCGACAAGGCCGGGGAAGCGACAGTAGATCTCATATAGGAGTCAAGTTGAAATCTTACACAGCATTGCACAAGGCCGCAATGTTTGCCAGCAGACCTCTGCCTCCAAGTCGGCGGCCGAGAAGTTCGGGGCGCTGGAAGGAGTCGGCGTGCACATGTGCTGCCGAGTTAGGGGTAGATTGCTGGGCTGGCAAGGCCCGGGGGGGGCAAGACACTGCCCACGCTTCAAGCTAGACTCAAGTCGGGCCTGCCCCTCTACAGGGGGAATGTTCAAAAATAAGTTAAACATAGTCTGGGGACGATTTGTTATGATTCTTGATACTTTGAGGGTATTGCTGTACTATTCTTTATTGTTCGTCCAAAATCCGCCTGTAGGGGGACATGCCCGACCTATAAAGCTAGACTTGATACACGTGAGAAGCGCGGTCGTAGGAGGGGCAGTTTGCGCGGGGCTGGCGCCGACATGTTCAGACTGTTTCGCACCGCGCGGGGTTTCCGCAAGCGCTCATGCTTGCAGCGGAGGTCACGGGAGTGGACAATCTCGAGTTGAGCAGGCTGCAGGGGTGAATTCTCAAGAGTGGCAGGACCGCCAGCTCCGATTCGGTCTCGCACCCTCGCCCCCATCTTCCTCCAAGATCCGGGCTCTGCGGTTCGGCGTCTGTGGTGTTGCGGAACCCTCCCCAGGAGTAAGTCACAGTCCGAGGCCCCTTCGGAGTTGCGATTCGATGCTGTCGTTCGCCAGGATAGGCTTGAAATTTAACGCCTTCTGTCATCAGGCACCCTAGGGGTGCCACCCACTGTCTTACCTACATGTTCCCTTCTGTGCTCTCCTCCCTGTTGCAGCGGTCGTGGAGAGAAAGGGCGCAGCGAGAAGTGGCCAGGAACCTAGGCCTCAATCAAGACGTGCCTGATGTAGGGGTGGCTCTGTCCGTCATGAGCACTGGGCGGGGGCCTCGGGACTGTAGGCAGAAAGGATGTCTCCTATCGGACCCAGGGGCTGTGGGCTACTGCCATGCCTGTTCAAGCTAGGCATGTTGTCACTCAGCCTTTTCTGCCCATGCGGGCATCGCAGTGATGGCATGGTGCACCGGCTGTGTGAGTGTCCACTGTCTCAGCCGCTCCGGGAGTAGATGTTTACACCCGATCAAGGGGAGGATATCGAGCGGTATGACAGAAACCGCTATCATTTCTTGGCTGGTTTTCAACTGGCGCCCAATTTTGAACTGTGCCCCCCAGAGGGCTCCAGGCTGGAAGCTGCAAATTTTTGGTGTGCCGATCCAGGCGTCGCTGTGGAGCAGGCCTCCGAGGCACTGTGCACGGACGGATCGTGCTTCACGTCAGGAATCCAGACGGATCGTGCTTCACAGACTGACAGACGAATCCAGCTGTGCACTGTGCACAGCTGGATTCGGATATCAACATCATGCTGGATGGGCGGTCCTTCGCCTTCAAGATGACAGTGAGCCTCACGCGGTTCTCTATGGCCCAGTTGCGGCCGCCTTCCGGCGGACATCCCCAGCAGCCGAATGGATCGCCTTGTGCACTGCTGCTGTGGCGGGATCCGGGGATCGCGAACTCGTCACTGATTCCATGGCGGCCCTCAGTCTCAATGGGCTTGCGTGCGTCGCGCTGGATATGAAGTCGCACTACGCAGGCCTCAGCAAACAGATACGTGGACTTCGACCTGCCTCGTCAGCAAAGTAAAAGGCCACCAGGATGTAGACTCGTCGTGCGCCGGCACGGACGAGCACTTTTTTTAGTTTTTCCAGGAGTTCCCGAATGTGCCAAAGAGAGCCGAAAGGCTCTGCCGCCCTGCCAATGTGGAAGCCAGATTGTCGGCTGTGCTCTTGATGTATCACCGAGCGCGTTCTACTACTCGCAAAGTGCCTCCTCGCAAACGTGCGAGAAACACATGGTAGCTTTGATGTACTGTATCGTAGGTCCTCCGCGGGGGATCCAGGCCATTTGCGAGCAGCCACTTTGCGAGTAGTGGAACGCGCTCGTCTTATTTATGTACTCCAGATTTCGTAATAAAGGGAGGGGGGTCTCATTTCGGGGGGGGGTCTCTTCCAGGCTATCTTGGAGGGCCTGGGGGGGGTCTGGGGACGATGTTTTGGCGGGTTCTCCCACGGGGGGGGGGTCTGAAATGGCTTGTCTTGGAGGGTCCAGACCCCCTCCCTGTTATTACGAAATCTGGAGTAGAGGTAAAGCCCTCATTGTGACCCAGTTGGCAACCACACGCGCAAAAACAGGCACGAGTGCAAAGAGGGGTCCGAGGACCAGGGCTGAGCAAGATCCAGAAGGGGTGTTGCAGGCTGCTCGAGAACTCGTGGCGCAGCCTGTCGAGGGGGCGGCCGCCACTTTCCCGGCAGCCGCCCCATCTCCACAACCTCCTCCTCCTCCTCCTCCTCCTCCTCATCCTTATCCTCATCCTCCTCCTCCTCCTCCTCCTCCACAACCTCCTCCTCCTCCTCCTCCTCTTCCTCCTCCTGGTTCTCCGTCAGAGCCTCGTGGTCGTCGTCGTTTCCTCCCGGGAGGGAGAGGGACAGGAGTCTCTCGACCACGCCTGGTTTCGGAGGCAGACCAAGTGGGTGTGTGCCCGCTGCCTGGCGTGGGCGTGCAAAGGCAGCACAAAGGCACGCAAGAGCAGGCTCGCATTCCCAGGCCACAACAGTCCACTGTTATGTTCAGTTCAAGGGTCTAGGGGGCACAGGCTCTGAACTGTTTTTTCTCAGCAAATGGGGAGGCCTTCTACCTCGGATGTGCGAGGTGCGGGGTCCACGCCTCGAGAGATTTGCGTTGTTTGGCTAAGAATTGTGATGGAGTTTTCTCACTGGATGGTCAGCAGCGCCGCTGGAGCCGGATATTGAATGGGGCAGCATCCACGGAGTGAGACGGGGAAAAAGCATCGTGTGGGGGACCGCCCCGAGTCCACAGAGTGCCTCAAAGAGGGCAGCCCGCCAGCAGTGCAGCGCAGTGGAAGAAGGCACCAGCAGCAGCGGCAGCAGGGGTTTGAGGCCGGGCCTCCCTCGCGCGAGTGCACTGCCGCCTGCCATCGCTCCGTGACAGGGTAGAGCGAGGCAGAGCCGGATCCTGCTCAGTGGTCATCGACCTCCATGTGCTCCTCGTCTGTCTTGTCATCATCACCCTTCTGGCCCGCTTTGGAGGGCAACGCGGTACTTTCCCACAAAAAGGGAAAGTCCGAGTTCCTGGATAAGGACCCCTTCTGATAAGTGTTTCTTCCGCAACGATTCCTGAATATGGATTCCATTTACAAGGACGTCCGCCAGTAGGAAGTCATCAGCAAATATTCCTTATGCGAGGGTTCCTTCAGAAAAGAATCATTCGTAAGGATTCCTCCGTAAGATTCCGTGTCAGGGAGTCCTTTAGTAAGGTTTTTTTGGGTCTGGGAAACGAATGAAGGTTTCCAAACCATGTTTTAGTATTTCGCTGGTAAGGAATATTTCAATAATGCCTCCTGAACAAGGGCTCTTAGATCAGGAATCCTTAGTCCATATTTCTTATGTAATGACTCCTGCAGCAATGATTTGCTCAGCGACGCGTCATATAGTAAGGATCCATTGCGCGACGACTCGTTCAGTCAACCTCTTCCGAGTATGGACTCATCAGGAAACGGTCCATGTTAGTACGTATCTTGTGCATTCGGATTGTTTTGGGATTATACAGCCCTCTTCTACTAAGTATTCCGTCAGCAATCCGTCCTTTTAAGAGGGTTGGACTCCTTCCAGTAAGGGCTGGTGAGTAAGAGCTCACGAGTAAGGACTCCTTAGCACGGAGTCCTTCAGTAATGATCCTTTATGCAAAGATGTGGACGGATTCCCAGTCCTTGTCATCATCCCCCTTCTTTGTCACTAGGAAGAGGGGGAACGAGAGAGAG